CCCCAAAATACTTCAGACAATGCTTCTAATTCACAGTAGAAGCACAAGACTGCAGACTGGACCCACCTGTGTTCAAGTATGACATTTGAAATGAGGGTGTCTATGTGCACAGGTTACAGATGCGTGAAATCAGGAAATGTATGCAATCAATTCCTAATCATGTGTATGTAGTGCAGGCCAGGGTGTCAAACTCAATTTCATTGAGGGCCGCATCAGGGCTGTGGTTGACCTCGGAGGCATGGCTGACTGGGTGGGTGTGGCCGACTAAGTGGGCATGGCCAGCTTGATGCCACTCCCCAAACATCTGGCATGTTACTTTTCACATTGAGTAGACTGGGCCGTAGCCACGCTGGCCTAATTGGGTAAACTGGGCTGAAGCTACATTGGCCTGATCTTTCCTCTTTGCACCAGGTAGACTGGGCCAAAGCTTCGGTGGCCTCATCTTTCCTCTCTGCATTGGGTAGACTGGGCCAAAGTGGTGTTGGTAGACAGGGATGGTCCCGTGGGCCAGATCCAACCAGATGTGGCCCACGAGCTTTGAGTTTGACACCCTTGGTGTAGTGTATAAAAAAAAGAATTGGGGGATCTTATCAAACTACTTTTTGAAAGTCCAACAAACTATCAGATCACTCTGTTTATATGCTAGTTAACAATCAAATAATTTTAAAAAGTTAATTTTATAGTAGTCATGTTTATTCTTTTTCAGCAAAACAATAGGTTTGATAATTTATTTTTTCATAGTATTTTCCTTAATTTGAGGAGTGTGTTTTAATTTCAGCTGTTGCACAAACCTAGGATTTATTTAGATGTGGACACTATAACAGTTCCATCTTACAGCACTTGCATTAATACAAGTTTTATCTTATACCAGCATCAGAAACAGAAGAAGTGGCCTGCTGGTTGGAGAAGAGGTAGTTTATTTTCAAGAGCACAGTACAAAACCAGGTTTCGAAAGGTAGTCTACAAAATTGGAGTATCAAGATTGAAGGCTTTTAGAGAGAAAATGTGTAGGTTAACATGTCTCTTAAACTGTTTAGAATAGAATTCTTTATTGACCAAGTGTGATTGGACACACAAGGAATTTGTCTTTAGTGCATATGCTTTCAGTGTATTTAAAGAAAAAATAAAATACATTCATCAAGAATCATATTGTATAATATATATTATAATCATATATTATATATTATAATTATATTATAAAAATATAATTAGAAAATATTTATTCTGGTGGACATGCAGTTCTCCTGGGAGAGATTTTTAATTAAATTTACTGGGTATGTACATTTTCTTTTTGATTTATAGGGTGTTGGGTGCTGTACCTATGTATCTAAAGAAGTCAATATTCCAAATGATTTCCTGTGTTTGTGGTTTACTTGATTTAATCAACTCTAGTACAGCTGTCACTTATGGGCTAGGCTTAGTCACACAAATATTGTATATTGTGATATTGTCTCTTTTTATAACACTGTTTCTTCTGGTTACCAGCAGGTCAAGTTAGTGATAAAAAGGAATGTGTGAAGAGTTTCATTTTTAAGTTAAATGCTTCTAATTAAAATATTTTCTGACATCAGATTATACCAGTTCTGCAACTGGTATAATAAGAATAAAATACTTTCCAGGGTGTTTGCCAACACTGTATTATCTTTATATGATTATCTGTTTTAGAAAGACTTCATGAAACCAGAAGGACATCTTGTATACATTATTATCCACACAGCTCATTTTGAGAAATACCAGCTTTGCTTTTCATAAAGTTTATGGAGCAAATCTATCTATGTGGTTGCTAGGAGTTGAAAACAACTTGATGGAACATTATCAATCTATGTGAGAAACTGCAGATTCCTAATCCATTGAAACAATAAAATCCATGACTGTCAGAACCCAGGAACCCCTAAAAGTGCTCTTGCCTGAGGTTTGGTGGTAAGAGGCTTCATATGGAGTATGGCTTTGAAGCGTTCTCTGGGGCTAGTTTCATGTTCCTGATCCAGTAATGTAGCCTGAATAGGTTACTTCTTGTTGTAGATACTGGAGTTTGATAGGTGAAGCTTTATGTCCTTTTTTTCCCCAGGCAAGAAAGTAAATAATTGGTGGCAATTTGACAGGTAGTTTTTGTTCTCTAAGCTAGCAATAAATGGGATGAGAATTGAGCCACAAGTTAATGAGGATGAGTCAGTTATTCAATTGTGGGAGGTATTTTGAGTCCAGGTATATTGTTGGCCTTTCCATGTAAACATGTTGTAGAGGTATAGTGATGAAGAATCCAGGACGATACTGAAAAAGGAAGTGCACAAGTCCATGAAAGTGAAATAAATGGCCGTTGCATGAATCTCAGTAATAATGGTGTCTGGAATGGGCAGAACCAGGGCTTGGGGAATGATGTAAGCACTGATAAATCCAAGATTGAAGGAAACAACACATGGGATTTCCTTCAGGATCAGTCTTTGTTTTATGTACTGTGAAAATTGGATGTTGCAAGGGGAAGTATAGTTTTGTAAATATTTTTGTAAAACTCCCTGTGCTATCTTTACAATTTACATTGTTTTATTTGTTTTCCTAGCAGTATGCTTTGATTATTAGTAACCTATGTATGATTTGATTGCTTATAGTAACCTATGACTATTACTAAATGTTGTATCTTATTATTCTTTTTCAGGGCCATTGTAACTTCACATGTTCATTAAATGGTTGGAAGGAAGAGGACTTTATATAGCTGCTCTCATAAGCAGAAGAGTGACTCTGGGCACTATCCAATAAAAATAAAACAATAAATATCTAAAATTCTTATCATTAGCAAATACTAAAAGCATTAAAAAGTATAAAAACAATTAAAAAATAAATCAGGTGTAGGGGAACCTTGGAAAACTTAGAAGTGGAGGCCATTTTCATTTTGGGAGCTGGGGAAGGCGGATTCCACACTATGGAGAATGTCTATGAAGATTCTCATCATCCAGGACATGGTTGCCCTAAAGGTGCTTTTTCAAGAGGCAACAGCATGGAGAGTCACAGCAGAAAAGGCCTACTACCTAGGTCTGCCAAATGTAGCTCTCTAGAAAAATAGAACCACAATGTGTTCATTCTGTTAGATAAGCTGGAGCAGGTGGATGAAATCAGGGAAAGATAGTCCCACAAATCACCCGCCCCCATTCCTGGGTAGTTTTTAAAGGTCAATATCAGCACCTAAATTGGACCAAGAAACAATCTTGTAACCAATGCAGCTGTGCAATAGACTTGTAATATATTTGACCAGAGGCAAACATAATTGATTGCATCGTTCTATTTTGTACCAGTTGAAGTTTTTGGATATTCTTGAAGGGCAAGCCCATGTAGAGCTCACTGCAAGTCAGAGCAATAGTTAGATCTACTTGCCAGGTTGCCTAGAAGGAGAGGGAATAAACTAGAGCTGTTCCTTGAAACTACCATTGAAGCCAGCAACTCAGCAATGTAGGCCTTTTTTTACGTAGGTCTTTTCTCTATCCATGTAATGCACTGGGAAGAAGGGAACTCTCTCCAGTTTCCACATTCTCATTTCCACGGAGGACCAATGACAGCTCCTCACAAGTAACTTTAGCCAGCAGCCAGAGATGGCAAACGAATAGTTTGCTCTCTCTGTTTATCCTTGGCAGAATAAGGTGCGTTATCAGGCCCCTGGAGGAAATGGGGGGGGGGTCAAGGACTGGGCTGGCAGGTGCTTCTGCCCCTTGCTGTAGGAAAGCCGAAACAAGGAACAACAGCTGCTGCAACCTCACCTTTCTCCCTTGACTAGAAAACATTTGGCCTGGAAGGTTGCAGGCCCCGTTCTCTCTAGCAGGATGCCCAGGTGGTGAGGAAAAAGAAGCACCTGTTCCGGGCAGGCCTGGCTACTTCCCATGGGGGTGTCTGACTGCAAGGGATAGCTATCCATTTCTATGATTTGTTGCTGCTCCAATAAGATCAGGCAGGGTCAGGTGAACCGCTCCCTGCTGCCATCATCTGCCCACCCATGAGGCAGCTTTCCCATTTTCTCAGCCTGTAGGCAGCAGCCTGGCATCTTGTGGGTCCTATTGCAACCCAGAGGGATGAGGCATCTAAGCAGGTGTACATCTGCCTGCTTTGGTGGTTGGCACGGCAGCCTATCACAGATGGGAAGCCCAGACTTTCCGAGGCTCTCCCTCTGTCTGGAGGGCCGTCCATCACAAGTGCGGCTTCGGTTCTCCGAGCGACAGTATATACCGGGGCCGCCGCCACTGCCGCTTAGAGAAGGAATCCGGTTTCATCGAGCTTAGCGTTCCCTCAGACCGGCCGATGGGAAGGATGCCCCCTACAAAGGATCGCGCCATTTCGGATCACGGGAGGCAGAAAACACGTCGGGCCATTTGTCTTGGGTTAGTTAAGCCATTCCTCCCCGGCGAGGCCAATACGGCAGGTGAACTAATTCTTTCACTAGCTTTTTTTTTTTTTTGGATGGACCGTTTGAGGCGGAGAAAAAGGTTCAGAACCGCTTCCTCCTTCGAACCCGAAGTGGTACGGTCCGGAGTGCGTACCCTACCGAGGGTTCTGCGTTATTCTGCAACCAGCGCGCGCGCTCCCGGCCCGGCGCTTTTCTGATCGGTTCTCGGCATTTATGGCAAAGCGGGGAGGCGAAGTGGACGCTGCTGAAACAAAACTCCAAAGGAGACCAACACCTTCCGCCCCGCGCGGGCGTTTGCTTCCCCCCCCCGCCCCCCCGGGTGGATTCTCGGCCGGACGCAGCCAAATGAACGGTGCCCCCGCGCCACCGCCCTAGCCAGTTCGCTCCTCCCTCGCGCTCCTCATTCGCCAAGCGCGCCCCCCCCCTTTCGCTAGAAACCCCCCCCCCCACCCCGTAGAGTTGGATGAGGCTTCTCGAAGAGGAGGGGGCTACCGCGCCGGAGTGACTGATTGGAGGAGCGGGCCGAGTGGGGGGGGGAGGGGGGGAAATGGCCGGAGCTGAGCCCAGAGCGCCTTCGCCTTGCATCAGCCTTATTGGGTGGGAGGGCGCCGCCACCTCTTCTGGCCGCCTTCCCCGCGCTCCAGGGCGTGCGTGAGCGGGCGCGTCGTGCATAAAAGGCGCTCGGCGGTGTGAGGGCACGCGGAGGCTGGAAGGAGCGAACCTTTCCCTCTGGTGCCGAGGAGATTCCGGCGGGGCGGGGGGCGGGCATTTATAAAGCTTCCCCTTGCAGTCCGGCCAAGCGCCTCTTTCCCGGACCGCCGTTTGGTCTGCGCGCTTTTTCTGAATTAGGTTGGAGAGCGGTTCCCGCCAGGCCGAAGCGACCGGCAATGGAGAAGCCAACCGAGAGCCGGAATGGCTTTCTGGAGCCGACGGTGCTAACCGGCTTCGAGTCTGGAGAGGAAGGAGTGAAGCAGCCTCGGCTGAAGCTCTTCCAGTTGCGGAGCTTCGGGCGGTTCCTGAGGAAAAACTGCATCGTGATCCTGACCGTCACCGGCGTGCTGGTTGGGGTGGCCATGGGCGCCCTGTTGAGGCAAACGCCGCTCACCCGGGCTCAAATCACCTACTTGGCCTTTCCGGGAGAGATGCTCCTCCGTATGCTGAAGATGATCATCCTGCCTTTGGTGATATGCAGTCTGGTCTCCGGGGCAGCCAGCCTGGACACTCGGTCCCTGGGCAAGCTGGGCGGCATCGCCGTCGCCTACTTCTTGGTTACCACCTTGATCGCCTCGGCGCTGGCCGTTGCCTTGGCCTTCATCATCAAACCCGGGGTGGGCGCCGGGGAGCTCAATAGCAAAGACTTGGGCTTGGATGGCGCCATGCCCACCAATAAGGAGACGGTGGACTCTTTCCTGGACCTGGCAAGGTAAGGAAGTCGGGGTGGGGTGGGGGCTTCCTTCCTCTGGTCCAGAGGCGGACTCGGAGCAATCCTGGCTGAGCATGGGATGATTCCTGCCTTGCTGGTTAGCCCCCTTGTGGGAGGCAAGCGAGGCTGGTGCCCCCCCCCCTTTTGGAAATCCAACTTTCAGAGTCTTAATATTGCGACTATGAATGTGGAAGTGATGGGAGTTATGATCCAAAGCGCCTGAAGGATACTTGGCTTTTGAAAATTCCTATTTATTTACTTTCTTATCTCCAGGTCTGTCTGATGCTTTTAGATTCCATTGACCCCTTCCTTCCTTCCTTCCTTCTTCCCTCCCTCTCTTCTCTTCTCTTCTCTTCTTTTCTCTTCTCTTCTCTTCTCTCTCTCTCTCACTTCTCTCTCTCTGTCTCTCTGTCTCTCTCTTTTTTCTTCCTCTCTTGCCTATGAGCTATTAGTATGAAGTTAGAGATTAGTATGTATGCCATCTTTGCTTTGCAAAGAACTTGAAGCTGATGAAATACTAGCCAAAGATGAGTAATGGTCCTGAATAAGGATTTGTGGATAATGATTCCTGAAAGGTGGCCAATATACGCTCAGGAAATTAAAATGCCTAATAACATGCAGATTTTGGTTCTTCATCGTTTACTTAACAGGTGCATTATGGTACTGTATAAAGTTTAAAGACCTGGAGACCATTTCATGAGGCAGAGGCATAATTTCAGTTTACAGATTTCTATTCAGTAATTGGGGAAAAAGAGAAAGATAAACAGAGGTCCTTCAAAGCCAAGGATTACTGATGCAATCAGTAACATTTCTGTACAAAAGTCCCACATGTGAATTCATTTAGGCTTTTGCAGAATCTTTGTATCTGAGAAAACTCCATCTGTTAAAAGCTGTGCACAATGTTAATCTTTAATTTTTTTGGTTGACAAAAGTCTTCAGTTTATTTCAACAAAATTATGCTTATGTCCTGCCCTTATATAGTCTTCCATTCAGGTTACTCATCACTTAGAGTTACTTTGCAGATGTTATGGATTGCTTATTTGTTGAGTTACTTAAGAGGATGTAGGATTGGGGAGAATAAGCATCTAATGGACGATCCTTTGCTAATTTGATTTGTTATTATTTGTTTTGATTTCCCAATCAAGTAACAAAATACAACCAGACTACAATAGAAAGCGTAGGAGCAATATGAGCACAGCTCACTCCTTGTACATAAAACAGCTCAGAAACCACAGATTCAGAATGTGTAGCTTTTGCATTGAGGGTGGTTAAGTATACCCTAAGATTTTAATTAAAAATGATATCAAATCCTGCTTGATATCATGATGATTAGTTAAATGATGATTACTAAACATGATATTGGCCCAGAATAAACCTTTTTTTGTTTTATGGCACTTAGAGAATAAGCTTGCCAACAGACAATACTTATTTGTACATGGATGGCGAAATCTTCTGTAAATCAAAATAATTAAATTTAAGGTACTTTGTAGAATAAAGTTTAAAGACCAACATGTTTATTTTGTTTTTACAAATGTTATTTTTTTTGAAGCAATTTTTTTTATCCCATTTCCTTGTCAATATATGGCTCACTATGTAAACATCAAATTTGAAAAATACAGGACCTTTAACTGCAATTTCTTGGGTATGCATATTTTTCAATACATTCTTTGTTGGAGAATTGCTCTACAAAATTCAGAGTATTAAAAATTGAAAGATAACTGTGGGGTTTTATATTGGATGCTGCATATATATTTAGTAAGTTGATGTCAAAATGTGAACTAAAATAATTTATCTCCATCCTGCTCTTTAAAACTTAGAAGAGAGATCATAGAGTAAAAGTTAAAAAAATAGAGAACATTTCATAATAACAAGCAGGATTTAATTTGGGGGGCATTTTATTTTCAACAGATGCTCAATTCCAACATGAATAAGGTTGCCCAACATGTTGCCTGCCTGACACAGGCAATTTTGTGACACAAAATTGGTGCAAGAATTGAAAACCCCTGATAATTCAGAATGACTGGCTGAAACTGGGAACTGTATCAGTAGAAATTAGATAACTCCACTAACAGCTGTTCTGGTCTTTCTCTCAGGACAAATCAGTCACCAAAGAAAATGCCTGGTGCCTTATCTTTTTACTCAGAATTTACTTGCCTTGTTTCATTAGCTGCCGCCAAAAAGGGAGGATAGTTACCCACATTTCAGCTTATTATATTTTCCTATGGGAGAGAAGAAAGAGTGAGATAAGACTTATTCCCTTTGGAGGCAGGCATATCATCTCCTATAGCATCAAGCTCCAACCTTATTAGAACTCTTGCTTGTGCCAGCATCTTCTAGATATGAATTGGATCAAGGTCACAATATCATATCAGAGTTAAAAATTATACTCCAAACACCTGTTTAAACAAAACAGTGTTAAGACTTGTGGAAGATTGATTGTTGGCATACCAGGTATAGCACCAGAGGCCAGTTGTTCCATACCACCAAGGCCATTACAAAGTAAATTCCCTTTGGGAAATTGTACAATTTGTATAAATTTAACAAATTTATGTATTGCCCATCTCACTCTGCAAAATGACTTTTAGCCAATTAATTTGCAATTTACTCTGAAGGTTTCCAGTAACCAGCTAGGTCAATCAGTTGTTTTTACTTAAAACACAGCTTGCAAAACGCTATGTACTACTGGTATATTACAATAATAGAATAAAACAATACAAAGGGAGAAAAAAGATTCCACTAGTGTATGAAAAAAATAGCTAGGGTTGTCTTAGTGCTAAAATGTACTTGTAATGTGTTACCTGTTTAACAAATAACTTTATCAGAAATCTAATTAAAGAAAACAAAGGACAAATTAAGAAGAGAAAACAAATTAAAGGACGAAAAAACTTGGGGTTGTTTGTTTCCATCCTGATAAGCTGAGTCTCTAGCAAAGAATGATTGTTAATGGTACAAGTGTAAGCAATAATAATAATAATATATAATATATATTATTAATATATAATAATAATAATAATAATGGTAAAAGTGTAAGCAATAAGTGTAAGCAAGGCGTGCATAAGCGCACCAATGTGCCTACTGTCCCTGTC